TGAGAACTGGTTCCTTGCTTGTCTGGAGTCTGAGGACTGGTAATGTAATATCATGGGAACATGGAATTAAATGATCAGGATTGTAGCTTCAGTTATGATATTTAATTGTGGGTTACACTGGATACTTACTGTCTTTATTTTGTGTGTGCTTGTACACTATAGCTTGAAATAATATTAATGCAGGGCTAGTGAGAAGCACACGCGCACACACACAGATAGATAGATAGATAGATAGATAGATAGATAGATAGATAGATAAATGTGTTCCTGGCATGCAGAGAACTAGTGACCATACTAAACTTGCTACCCTTTAGAGGTCACTGTCTCTTGTCCTCACCTCTCTGGAAAGTCTGACCTTGTCCATTCTTCCGATTTTTCTTTTCGTCCTAATGACAGGAAAACAATGCAGGGTGCTCAGATCCTAGAAGCGCCTTCTCTTGGGACTATGGTGAAAACAGAGGACAAGGAAGTGGTTGTGGTACCCAGCTTAGCTGTCCTAGCAGACAAACCGTATGTTTCAGCTGCTCCCTTACTTGGTGTGGGTAGTCCCTTCATCTTTCCCCTTCCTTTGGTCCTGAACCACTGGCCTGGGGAGGTGAATCTTTTACCAGACCTGCATCGCCCCCTGTCAGACAAGCTGAGGTACTGCTAGTAGAGTTCTACCCTCCCACCCACCCACCCCCACCCTGGGCAGTACCTTGGCAACGCCTGCATGGGGAAGAAGTAGCTGCTGCTGCTGTGTAGTCCCAGGACTCTGCTGCTAGTGACCAGGAGGGTCTCCTCTGTGTCTCAGATCTGGCTGTCCATTGCATCCAGCTCTGTCAGGTACTCCCAGAGCAGAAGAGAAAGCCTTTCTCTTCCAAGACTCTCCAAGACCCCACAGGCCAGCACTGTGATAGCCTAAGGTTCAACACTATAGTATTCCACAAGTAGGCTTGAGGCCATAGGAGAGGCAGGAGTGTTCTGGGAAGTCCCCTGTGGAAGGAGGACTGGACATTAACGAGTAGGTGGGGAGAGAAAGAACCGGGGCAGCTGCTGTCACAAGGGCTGGAAGGCCAGAGGAGAGTCAGACCTAACGTGGACCACGTCCCGCACCACCACTCAGTCAGCTGTGAGACTGCAGGCAAGTCTCCTCTCCCATCCTGTCCACTTTCTTCCCATCTTCTCCATGTCTCAAAGCCCAGGCTGGTCTTGAATTCACAACCCGCCTACCTCTACCTCCTAACTTCTGGGATTATAAGTGTGTCTTGTGCCTGGCTTGAGTCATTTCCTTTCCGAGTTTGTTAATATGGCGGCTGCAGTGAGAATGTTTGGACCTTCTTCACAGGTGATTATGGCTGAAATGAGATTTGCCTCTCAGCGGGATGGGTGATGGTAGCCGTGCTAGCGAAAAAGGAATTAGAAAGTCCTGTTGGACATCTCCTATCTCCTAGCTGAACTAGGATGCTCTCCCCAGGGCCTGGAAGACTGGCAGTTCTAGCAGCTGATGGTGGTGGTGTGTTTTGGGCTAGGACATGGATGGAGAGCGTGGGAGGGATTTGCAACAGGCCAGGAATGAGGTTCAGGAAAGCTATGGTTGACACAGGAAGTGGAATCAAGGGAGCAGAGGGTGCGCTTTGGCCAGTTGCATTGTGTCTTCCTTGCGGTTCCTGAACCATCAGAGCTAGGTATGCCTGCCTACAGGATGTGAGGCAGTATTCCCCCAGTATCATGCTATTCTTTTTTTTCCCTGGAGTTCACTTTGTATACCAGGCTGTAGTAATTAGGGGGCAGCGGCGGGGCTGCGTTCTCAGCATCCCCGGCCGCCTGCTCGGCTAGCTTATGCCCCAAAATAATTACACAGACACTGTATTCTTTTAAGCACTGCTTGGCTCTTTAGCTCTAGCACTTACAGGCTAATTCTCACATATTAATTTAGCCCATTTCTAATCATCTGTATGTAGCACCCCAAGGTGCGCTTACCGAGGAGATTCTAGCCTAGTCCATCCTGGTTCGGAGCTTCATCCTGGGAGCTGGGCATGGCGTCTCTCTCAGGCGTCTGCTCCCGAGAGAGCTGTGGAGTCTCTGAGCTCACTTCCTCTTCCTCCCAGCGTTCTGTTCTGTTTACTCCTCCCACCTATCCTCTAACCAATAAAATGGGCCAGGGCAGTTCCTTTATTAGCCAATGACCTTCCTCCATCATTTCCCCTTTTTCGGTTTAAACAAAAAAAAAAAAGGCTTTAACATAGCAAAATTACATATAACAAAACAGTTATCAAGTAAAAGTTACAATAATCTTTGTCATAACTAAGGAAAACTATAACTATAACTAACTATTCTTAACTCCATCAAAGACTCCAGAAAGATACAATACTACCTAAGCAAACAAGAAAAAAGCAACTTTTAAAACTCTAGAAATGACAGCGACATCTCGCTGCCTGGACAGTCACCCAAAGTTCCTCTGTACCGTTGGGGCATCCATCTTCATGCCTTCAGGCCCATGGTATCCAGCAGACATTTCCATAAAGCAGGAAAATTCAAAGTCAGTTCAGTCACTATCTGTTGTGTCCTGCAGAATGTCTCGCAGACTCTTTCATGAATCAGGAACCCCGAAAGATCATCTCACCTTAGGCAAGTTCAGTAGTCCTCTCTCTGTGGGTTCTCTGTGTCCAGTTTATGCAATAGTCCAGGCAAGAGCAGTTTCTTGCCCAAATGGCTATCAAACTCCATAACGAGCCTCTTCGATGCCCATCTTCCTCTTGAAGTAGATTGGTGCTGCCAGGAGCAGAGTGTCTCATTGTCATGAAAAGTCCTCAGTTATTAAAACATTAAATGTCCTATTCTGTAATCTTTGAAAGACATGAAGAATGTCTATCTAAAATATATCTACGCACATCTAGAAAATATTAACTAACATGACTACAAGCTTTACTATTATCGATGATTATCCATTAACAACATATATTTCTTAATTATACAGTACATATTTAAATGAACTACACAATCACAATACCTTAATCAAAACCAGAAACACTTATATATATATAACAAAATTGACCTTAAATCTCTATCAATAAAGCAAAATCTATACTAATGTAAATTATTCATATCTATATCATATCCCCCTTTAAATGTAAAAGAACATTTATAAACCATATTTGGGAATATGGGCGCAGTTATTTCTCTCCAAACTGCTTCCTGCTGAATGGGGGCGTCGTTAATTAGGTCTTTCATGGTATAACCTGTGTGCTAGTTTCATCTCAGTTGGCAGTTGAGCGAAGCAATTTTTTGAAGGCGTTCACACCAACCCTTCAGGAGGGCGTGGTCCATCATACCACATTGGAATAGAAGAAATGAACAGCGTCTCATCCTCTGTGAAAACAAAATAAGAAACTCCTTTCCAAAGTATCATGTCCTTAGATCCAAATTTCAAATTTAAGGCATTTTCAAAGTATCTATGTTGGATTAGTTCAGCAGCATTTATAAACAAATATCTTTTAGCAGTTGTTTGTCCTTCCTCAGCATTCAAACAATTCAAAGAGAGCATAATAGCATACAGTATCAAAATTCTCTGTGTATTTTCCATCTTTGTGCAGCTGTGTTTTAACCTCTATTTTGTTTATTTTTACTTTTAACTCTTTGCTTTTTGAGGCAGGTTCTCTGTATCTTTGACCTGAAGTAACTCTGTAGACCAGGCTGTCTTTGAACTCTCAGAGATCTGCCTGTCTCTGCCTCCCAGGCATTCGGGATTAAAGGTGTACACTACTACACCTTGAACTCACAGAGATCTGTTTGTTTCTGCCTTCTAGGCACTGGGATTAAAGGCGTGTGCTACCACACACAACAACTCTCTTCCTTTTTTTTTGTTACTTTAAGAACTTTAAATTTTAGTCTGCATATATTTTTAACACACTTCAAACCATTTAGAAATTTTCTTTGTCTTTGAATCTCTCTTTACTGTATATCTCTCTTTTTCTGACCACACGAGTCTTTAATTTACCAAGCAATATCAGTAGGATTAAAGGCGTGGCTTTGCCCGCTGGATCCAGCCCATTCCTTAGCTTTCCAGCCTCATGGCTGAGGTACTGGCTGTAGCCAGCAAGCGAGCTTCAGCAGCCTGTGCTTGCAAACCGCACAAACCGCCTGCGTAAAAGAGTCAGAGTTTGCCCTGGCAGGACAGCCCAGAAAGCCGGCATTTTTAAACGGCGCAGCTTTTTTCCTGCTATGGCTGAAAACCGAAAAGCATGTGTTCAGCTTTTCGTCAACACTGTTTAAGTGTTTTGTGGCAGGACCTCTTAATGAGCTTCAGGGTTCTGCAGCTAAAGCTGAGTCAGGAAGCCTCTCTTAGATGAGGCGCTTGCTTGCCTCTAGCAAGCAGAGTAGAACCGAGAAATTGCTGCTACCAAGAAACCAGGCACAATGCTTTCATTTTGTTCTAGAATTACTTCCCAAGCTGTCTCAGGCTTTATGTGGAAGCAGTTGTCCACGTGGGCGCCATATGTAGTAATTAGGGGGCAGCGGCGGGGCTGCGTTCTCAGCATCCCCGGCCGCCTGCTCGGCTAGCTTATGCCCCAAAATAATTACACAGACACTGTATTCTTTTAAGCACTGCTTGGCTCTTTAGCTCTAGCACTTACAGGCTAATTCTCACATATTAATTTAGCCCATTTCTAATCATCTGTATGTAGCACCCCAAGGTGTGCTTACCGAGGAGATTCTAGCCTAGTCCATCCTGGTTCGGAGCTTCATCCTGGGAGCTGGGCATGGCGTCTCTCTCAGGCGTCTGCTCCCGAGAGAGCTGTGGAGTCTCTGAGCTCACTTCCTCTTCCTCCCAGCGTTCTGTTCTGTTTACTCCTCCCACCTATCCTCTAACCAATAAAATGGGCCAGGGCAGTTCCTTTATTAGCCAATGACCTTCCTCCATCACCAGGCTGTCCACAAACTCACAGAGATCCGCCTGTGTCTGCCTCTCAAGTGCTGGAATTAACTCTGCTTGTTTCTTTTCCTCTGTTCTGTTTTAGAAGCGGAAGCCAAAAAAGCATGTGAATGGCTTTGGGCAACAGGATTCCCTCAGTATGCTCAGCTTTTTGAAGGTAAAGCTTAGTTGTTCTCCCTATCCTATTCCAAAACTCTCTTTCTCCTACAGCTCTTCATCTGCAAACTGGGTAGAATACATGCTCACTGCAGCCACACAAAGCCCCTGTGTCTCCCGATCCCCCCCAGCTGTGCAGGGACTGTACTCCTGAAGCTCAGGACCCTTAGGGGAGTGCTCTCATCAGCTTCCAGCTCTGGTGCCACTTGTGTCTTAGCGGCTCACTGTGTGTACCCTGGTGACAATGGGAAGGAGGAATTGCGCATCCTTGTGGCTCATGTGGGACCCCACTTTGCCCACGGCAATAACCTCATTTCTGTTTTTCTTCATTTCTCTTCGTTTTCTGGGTTTTGTTCTTGACGCTTGCTCCCTCGTCCCCTGTTGTTTACATACCCCTGCTGCACCCTGGCTTCACCCCTACTTCATCCTGTCAGGCTCACCCATGACCTCCATGGCCACTTCCCGACCCTCATTTTACTCTTTTCTCTCGATAGTATTCAGCACTGGTAGCCACTCCCTTTCGTCTTCTGAAGTACCTCCGCCTGCCTCTTCATCTCTGGCTGCTGCCCTCTGTTTGTTGACTCTGCTTCCTCTAACTGGCATCTAAATATTAGGGTATTCCAGGGCTCAGTCTAGACCCTTTGCTTTCTCCACGTTTATTTTCTTGAAGATGCTCATTCATCTTTTCTGTGACAGCTCTGAATGGGTCTGTCCAGACCTCGTTTCAGAGTTTATGGTTCATCTAATCAGCCGCCAACTCAATGTCTTTATGCTGCGGTCTAGCAGGTACCTCTGAGATCTGCCTAAAACAACTCTGTCCACTCTGTTGCTCAGGTTCCATATAGCCAGGAGTTACCCTTGAATTCTCTTCTTCCCCGTGGCTAGATGTCCTGCTAGTCTTTTCTTCTTTCAAAGTGAATGCATTCCCTAACACCTCCACTTCCAGGCCTGTTGAGCTCCACCACTGCTCACCCGGAATAAAGCACTAGGATCCTTCTTTGAACTCCATGCTTCGCTTTCAGTGCCCCAGACCTGTCGACCACAGCCTGAGACCACGTGGCTCATGTGCTCTGATGAGGGAGAGACCAATCAATATTGCACCCTGCCTGACCCACTGCTCTCCTTGATTGGCGACACCATTGGCTCCTGTCTACTCCCTGCTCCTTCCCTGGTCTCTCCCTCATCAGAACCTTGGTATTTGTGTTATTTCTGGCTGAAACTTGTTCTAGTTTCTCTGCTTAGCCAGCTTTTTCTCAGCCTTCAGGCATTCTGTCTCAGAAATCTCCCCCAGAAAGGCCTGGTCTGACTCCATCTCATCAAGTAGCCATTCCTGCCCCAGCCTTTATTTACTCTGTCACCCTGGATCAGGTTTGTTATGGCGTTTGTGTTATCTGTGGTTTGTGTATTGCTTTCTGCCTGTTACCTGTGTGAGTGTCAATTCCTTGAAGGTAGGGACCCCAATTTTGTGTTCTTCACTACTACCTTGCACAGTACCTGGCATGAACTGGCATCAGTATAAGTAGAATGAGCAGCTTGACCTTTCTCCCCTCTCTCCACATGTCTTCCTTTTTGCTTTCCTTCCCTGAGTCCTGGGGAGATGGCTCCCACTGCTTTGGATAGACACTGTATAGCTACATGCTTTTCCCTCTGACCTTGTTCCCTCCTACACCCCATAATTTGCCTTGGACTTGCAGGAGATCGCCTGTCTGAAAGTCCAGAATTCAAATGAAAGAGAAGAGCTCAAGGTGGATGTTGGCAGTCATTGAAAAGCTCAGGCCTGTTGTCTGGGCCTGGACATACTTTACACGGTTCATTTCAGCTCAGACCTCCTAGACTTCTCTGGCTTTTCCCTTAATTACCAACTCTGACCTCCCTAGGTTCCCCCAGGCTCATTAGCCTTCTTTCCGTGTGACACAATACCTGAGTGTGGCAGTTTGAATGCAATTGGCTCCCAGAAGCTCACAGGGAGTGGCCCTATTAGGAGATGTGACTTTGTTGGAGTAGGTATGGCCTTGTTGGAGGAAGTGAGTCACTGTGGAGGCAGGCTTTGAGGTCTTATATATGCTCAAGCTGTGTCCAGTATCTTAGTTCATTTCCTGTCGCCTGCAAGATAAAGAATGTAGTAATAGGAACGGCGGGCCGTAGAACTCTCGTCTCCTTCTCCAGCACCATATCTGCCTGCATGCCTACATGTCCACCATGATGCTAATGGACTAAACCTCTGAAACTGTAAGCCAGCCATTAAATGTTTTCCTATATAAGAGTTGCTTTGGTCATGGTGTCTCTTCACAGCAATAGAGACCCTAACTAAGGCACTGAGATAAGCAACTTAGAAAGAGGGGCAATTTATTTGGCCTTATGGTTTTCATCCATGGTTGCTTGGTTCTGTTGCTTTGGGCCTGTGGCCAGATAGAATGTCATGGTGGAAATTCAGAGTGGAGGAAAGCTTCATCCCTCATGGTGGGCTAAGAAGGGAGGGCTATGAGGGATAGTGTGGATAGGAGGGAAATTCTAATACCCATTCAATACTTTAGCTCCTTCCCCTGGGCCCTCCTTCCTAAAGGCTCCACCACATTCTGGGCACCTGCCCCTGGAGACTTAAGCCTTCAACCCATGCCTTAGACTGTTAGGCATGGGTCTCAAGTTCTGAGTGGTTCTCAACCTTTATAATGCCGTGACCCTTTAATACAGTTTATCATGCTGTGATAACCGACCCCTAACCATAAAATTATTTCATTGCTACTTCCTAACTGTAACTATGATTCATAATGTAAATATCTGGTATGTGATCCCTCTGGGTCTAAGGTCTAAGGATTAGAGAAACCTTAAGAGCCAAACCCTACCACCTCTGTTTTATTCCTAGCTTTCCCTTTTGCTTTGACCCTTGCCTTCTTGCTTCCTTTCTTCCTCACCCCAACCCAGTGCAGTTGAAGGGTATCTGGGGTCATTTCTGATCCCCTGCCAGACTCATCTTTGCTTCTTTCCCCCACACAGAGGGTGTGTTCCCCCTGGATGTAGTATTAGGGGCGGCGGGGCCTCGTCCCCAGCACCCCAGCACCCCAGCCGCCTGCTCGTCTAGCTTATGCCCCAAAATAATTACACGGACACTGTATTCTTTTAAGCACTGCTTGGCCCATTCTCTTCTAGGCTAATTCTCACATATTAATTTAGCTCATTTCTAATCATCTGTGTGTAGCACCCCAAGGTGTGCTTACCGGGAGATTCTAGCCTATGTCCATCCTGGGTCGGAGTTCATGCTGGGAGCGGGGCATGATGTCTCTGCTGAGGAGTCTGCTCCGGAGAGCAGAGCTGTGGAGTCTCTGAGCTCACTTCCTCTTCCTCCCAGAGTTCTGTCCTGTTTTCTCCTCCCACCTATCCTCTAACCAATAAAATGGGCCAGGGCAGTGCCTTTATTAGCCAATGACCTTCCTCCATCACCTGGATATTGGCTCTGTGAAGAAGGACTACAGTTTTCTGGACCAGGACTCTCTGGGGGCCCTGTGCAGGTAGGGGATTGAGGGCCAGGCCTAAGAAGCCTTGGTACCAGTTTTGTGCTTCTTCATGGAAATGACAACCTCTTTGTACCTTCTATTATAGGGGAGCATAATTTATCAATGGGGCTCATTTTCTGCAATCCCATTGCTCATTGTGGTTACTGTGTCTCTCAAACTTTCTTCTACCCCTGTCACTGTAACTAGAAGATCCAGATCAGGTCTTGATTCAAATTCCTCAAAGCATGCTTTGGTTTCAGTCTGTTTCTACTTAAACCAGTTCTGATGTTTCCTAAGGCTAAACCATGATTTCTCCTTAAATCTATTAAAGGCACCTTGCCAGCTGGCCTCTGTATTCTGCTCCTCCTTCCATACAAAGCTATTCTCCCTATAGCTACCAGAATCAGTTTTGTAAAACTCCAGGTGGGTACTTTCCCCTCTTTAAAATCTGCCACTGCCTATAGGCAAAAGTACAAAACCTTTTCAGCATGGTGTTTGCCATCCTTCTTTTGCCCTCCTTTACCTTTGATCACATCCTCTCCCACTAGTTTCTTTGTTGACCGACTGTGCCCTGTTACCTTGTGACAGGCTCCTGTAGAAGTCTAGAATCGCTGCCCTGCTTCTCTTATCCTCAGAATGCCCCTCTGCTTTCCAGGAAGCCTTCTTTGACTGTACTGCATCTCATCCTGAAAGTTACTGGTCTCATCCTCGGTGTGTCTCTGTGCCTTCCACATGCTCTTTTCTCCAACTGATCACACCTGCAGTAGTTTGTTTCTATATCTATCAGTACCTGGAGGACAGCGCTCTAATCTCCCCAGCACCATGGTGAAGACCATGGGAAATGGTGGATGGCATCTTGAAAGTGCCACCCTCTGGGGAATTAGGAACCTTGAGTGAACACCTACTTTGTGTTGCAGGAGGCTGATGACCTTGAACAACTGTGCTTCGATGAAGCTCGAGGTTCATTTTCAATGCAAACAGGTGAATCCCGGCAAGGGGCGAGGTCTGTGGTCTCCCAGCACCTGGGAAAATCCCAGAACATGCATTTGTGAACAAACTCCCTTATCCAAGGAGTTCGGGGTCTCTAGCATGGGGGTGGAGATGAAGGGATTTCCTATACTGCAGGCCCTATGAGCTCACTTAGGGTTTTGAGGAGCTTCCCCTATAGGAGCATGTGGGAACAAGCACCCTGGCTCATACCTGACCCTACCCTACTCAAACCACCACTCCCTTCGGTTTTTGTCAGTCACATGACCCAGTGATGGCATTCCTTAGAGAAATGCACTCACTTAGGAGAAAACCACTGCTGTTCTGTTTGTCATGGCTAAGATTCCTTGAATGGGAGAAGAGACTGGGTAATGTGGCAGAAAGATCATGGCCTCTATGGTCTTAGAAGTCAGGGTCACCACAGCCTTACCACCTAAAATTTTACTTCCTTGGTCCATAGCCTCATTTTCTCCATCACTACAATGAGTTAGGGGACTGGATTCATACCTGTTTAGAGCCTTTCCAATTTGTCCATTTCTTATAGAAGCCATAAGGCCTCTGTCTGTACATGGCCTTAAAAGTAAGCCTCATGGCTTCATTGTTTCCTGGGGACAAGTACTGTTGGTGTCCTCTGGAGCTTTCCCCACCAGAGGCCTGCATTCAGATAGGGTAGCCGCACTGACAGATCCCTGGCCTGGGGCATTTCTGTCACTGACTACTAAGTGCCCTGTCTACGTCTCAGTTTCTCACCTTGCCAAGGAGAAAATGGATCAGAGCATCTAAAATCCTCTCCAGTTCTTAGAGAGCATAATTTTAATCTAAGACTACAGCCTCTAAATATTTAAGAATCTCTGCCACTGACATAACCATGACAGTACATAATGCTGGGCACATAGCTTCTGGTTTGTGGGATTTCCTGTCTTTGAAATGGCGGTAGCGGGTTAGATGACCATCATCATACATCCAGACTAGCTGTGAGTCCTGGTTTCCTACAACACTCCCAGAGCCAGCTTTCCATTTGCAGGCCAGGCCCTCTCCCAGAAAGCAAAGCTCTTCACCCTGCTCCACCCTAGAGCATTTGGAAGCAGAGTAAGGCACAAGCTGGTACTTGTCTGTCAGGCTTCTGTGACCCCTCCCTATGATGCCTCCCCAGGATGAAGACTCCGAAGAGGAAGAACAATGCACCATCAGCAGCCACTGGGCCTTTGAGCAGGAAAGCAAATGTGGGTCCCCCATGGGCTCTTCTGCCCTGCTGGCCCCACCAAGCCCCAGCCTTCTGGGGACCTCAAGCTGTGAAAGTGTCCTCACTGAGCTCAGTGCAGCCTCCCTGCCTGCCATCTCTGTGAGCCTCTCACCAGAGTCAGCAGACCTGGCCTTGCTAGATCGTGTCCCCATCCCAAGTAACCAGCCCTTCCTTAGTCCCACCCAGGGCCAGGAGGCTGCTCAAGACAAAGCAAAGAAGCATTATTCTCGAAGCTTCCTCAAGCACCTTGAATCTCTAAGGAGGAAGGAAAAGGGTGACAATCGGCAAACAGAGCCTGAGCAATGCCTGGCCACCTCGGAAAAGGCCACCAAGGCTTCATCTTTCCGCAGTTGCCGTGGCTTTCTCTCAGCTGGATTTTACAGGGCCAAGAACAGGGCCGCTACTTCAGCCCGAGGCAGAGAGGGTGAGACGCAGAAGGCCTGGGAGGCTTGGCCCATAGCCACATTCCGGCATCCTCAACCTGTTCGCCGGCGTGACTGCCTGGTGCATGTGCCTGGAGACCATAAACCAGGCACATTCCCTCGTTCTTTGTCCATTGAAAGTCTTTGTCCAGATGATGGCCATCACCTGGCAGATTGGAAGCCAGGTAGGTGCTGGGGCTATGAAGGGCGCCGGGGTTCCTGTGGTTCCACAGGCAGCCATGCCAGCACTTACGACAACTTACCTGAGCTGTACCCAGCTGAGCCTTTCCAGGCCAAGGCTGAGGCTGGAGATGAGGAGGGCGAAGGCAGCTATGCCCATCTAGATGACATCCTGGAGCATCTGTGGGGGCTGCAGCAACGGGTAGAGCTCTGGTCTCAGACCATGTACCCGGACCTGAGGCCTGGAGATAAGGAAGAGGAAGAGGAGGAAGAGGAGGAAGCTGCTTCATCCATTGAAATAGCCACAGCTGAGGTGGAAGGCCAGGATGAAGATCTAGCCCAGGCAGAGTCTCAAGTCCTCAGAGAGTTTCCACCCCAAGCCAAGGAGGAAGTCCCACTGATAATACTGGCTCAGGCCCCTGCTCTGGTAGAGCCATTGGTACAGGCCGAGGCTACGGCTCCAGCCCAGGCCCAGGACCATGAGCGAGAAGCAAACTTGGCTGTCGAGCCTGCTTCTGCCTCCAGCCTGTCTGCGGAAGAAGGACACTCCATTTCTGACACTGCTGTTTCCTCCAGTGAACTTGACAGCAGTGGCAACTCCGTGAATGAGGTAGAGGCTGCAGAAGCCCAGGCAGGACTCCAAGCATCAGTGCCCCGCGAGCGACGTGATTCAGGTGTTGGGGCCTCACTTACCAGACCATGCAGGTGGGAGTTTGGGGTAGTAGGGATGGGGGTGGAGTCCCTTCTCAGTCTCTGCCTTCTATCTGTCCTGCTTTCCTATTCATAAAGCCCAGGGGAAAGTTCTAGGGGGGGGGTCAGGAGATCATTTCCAGGCAGCCTGTCCCAAGAGAAAAGGAGACAGAGCTTAAGAATGTGGAGCCCTGAATGCTCAGTACAGGATCTAACCGTAGTGTGGCCTTGAGGAAATGGTGCCTCTTCTGGCCTTGCTCTCCTCATCTTAGCAACAGGGGTGTTAGAGATGGCCTCTTCACCTCAGTTTTGATGAAGAGTGTTTCTTGCCATAGTAGCCTTAGAACAGGTAGAGACCAGTACTGCCTTTTGGGGACTAAATGGGTCTGAGCTTGGTGCCATCCTCCATGAGAGCTTCTTGAACCCTAGATGACATAAAAGCTGAGAGCAAACTTTTGTCATCCCAAGGCCCCATAGAAGTACTCACTGTGCCTCTGCCTCCCTGTACTTCCTTTCCTTGGGGAGATTAAAAAAAAAAGGAGCCAAAAGGACATGGCCTTTTCTAAGGGTTAGCAAAACTGTGTCTCTGATGCTCTTTGCCCCTCTCACTTCAGGAAACTCCGCTGGCACAGCTTCCAGAACTCCCACCGCCCCAGCCTCAACTCAGAGTCTCTGGAAATCAACCGGCAGTTTGCAGGCCAGATCAACCTGCTTCACAAGGGCTCGCTGCTGCTGCTCACTGGCTTCATGGAGAAGTACACTGTGCCCCACAAACAGGCCTGGGTCTGGTGAGTGTCTCCTGAGCCATGCAGGACAGAAGCTATGGACTTTCCTAGGCTCTATGTCCTGGGATCACAGCCCAGAGGCAGGATAGACCGGCAGGCTGAGTGCACAGGCCAGTGGAATGATACTGTTCCAGGAGGCTGAAAGGGTCGGGTAAGGATAGATGTGGTCTGGAAATCCCCAGGTCTTCCAGCTGTCCTTTCTCCATCCCAGCCTCCATGCACCATCCGTGAGATTGTCCTAAAGTACACTTCGGTGGTCATGTATTGAGTAAATAAACAGCCTCAGGGCTTCCCAGTGTCAATTCCTTTCTCTCATGATCCTTTCATGTCCTGGGGTGGCCCCATCCTTCTGACTCTTCTGTCAGCCTTTCCCAAGCAGAATCATGATGGCCTGTGGGACTCGTCGCTCTTCTCTGAGCGTTTTTTGCCTTTGCACTTGCTGTCCTCTGCCTTTGCCTTATTGCTTCCGTGGACAATACCACTCTGTCCCGCAAGAGTCAGCTGACTTACCACCTCCTCTAGGAAGGCCTCTCTGACCTAGTAGGTGTACTTTCCCTTCCTAGCGGCTCTTCCTCTAAGTTCAAGACCTACCGCTGGCCACATGAGTTATCGGTGAGGGAACCTTTGTCCATGTGGCTTCTGAGGACATACTGTGTTCGCTACTCCTCTCATTTCTAGATGATTGATAGCCTTCCAACTGAGATCTCTCTTCCTGATCGCTTGTTAACCCCCAAATAGGTCAGTGCCCAAGTTTATGAAAAGGAATAAGACCCCAGACTACCGGGGGCTCCATGTATTTGGAGTACCACCCCTCATTCATGTGCAGCGCACCGGCCAGCCTCTGCCCCAAAGCATCCAGCAAGCCATGCGCTACCTACGGAGCCAGTGCCTAGATCAGGTGAGTAGTCCTCAGGAAGCCTGCAGAGAAGTGGTGTTGGGAGGTGACAAGGCCCCAGGCTGACTGCTCTGCCATCCCTCTTGGGTTGGACTACTCTCCAGAAACCTTTCCTTCCCTTGCAAGCCTCAGCAGGGATGATGCCAAAGCTCCCTTCCTTTCTTTATGGATGGAGCCTTTTGCCCACTTTGGGGGCAACTTCTTCCTGCCCCCAGCTTTGCAGTCCCCCTAGTCTCAGGACCTGCCTTAGCCTAAGGCCACCTGTTCACCCTCATCCCCATGACAGCTATCTTTCTCTTTGGCACCAGGCTGTAAACAACTTTCTCTCTGGACTTGCTGAGCCCATCGGGAAGCCTGCCAGGCTCCCTGGTCTCCAAGATGGCCTATGTTCCTGCCACCCCAGTCCTGGGCAGCCCTCACAGTCTCCCTTCTCCTCTTCATATCATGTTATTCCTTCCTTTCAATGGGTCAGGTGGGCATCTTCCGCAAGTCTGGGGTCAAGTCCAGGATCCAGAGCCTGCGCCAAATGAATGAGACCTCCCCTGACAACGTCTGTTATGAGGGCCAGTCGGCCTATGACGTGGCTGACCTACTGAAGCAGTATTTCCGGGATCTTCCTGAGCCCATTTTCACCAGCAAGCTCACCACCACTTTCCTGCAGATCTATCAGCGTAAGTCCCCTGTACCCCTCTTTATTAACCTGCCCCGCACTCAGCCTGCCTGATCTTGAGGGCTTCTGGGAAGCAAACCTGGCAGCTGGCCACGTGAGCTCATGGGAACATTCACTCTCTGAATTTGAAAAGATGCTTGGCGAAGGGACCACATTCTACTCCCCCTCAAACCCATTTTTGGTAGGGTAGACTGAGGCCCTGAGGAAAGGACCTTTCAAAAGGCTGCCCTGAATATCAGAGCAGTGCTTGAGCTAGTCACCAGAGCCCATCCTGATCCTTTTCTTTGGAAACTGTTGGGCCTTGTACATTCTGGAAAACAAGAAGCTTGCTGCTGGTGCTTCTGGAGAAATAAAGAAGGCCCTCTGACCTTCCTGTCCTGCAGTCCTCCCCAAAGAACAGTGGCTGGCAGCAGCGCAAGCTGCCACCTTGCTGCTCCCCGATGAGAACCGAGAAGTGCTGCAGACCCTGCTCTACTTCCTAAGTGACATTGCCTCTGCAGAGGAAAACCAGATGACAGCTGGCAACCTAGCAGTGTGCCTGGCACCCTCCATCTTCCACCTCAATGTGTCCAAGAAGGATAGCCCTTCTCCCAGGTGAGCCGGGTAGCGCATGCAGACGCCAGTCCCGAATTTGGCTTCCCAGAACATTCAGCCTGGGGAGCTATTAGTGCTAGTCCTACCCTTGTACCAAGGAGTTTTAGCCTTCGCCACTGTGAAGCTTGCCATGTCTAAAGGACACCAGGTGACTTTATTGAGAGGCAGCTCTCACTCATCTTGTCTGGTGCCTTGGTGCCATCCTGCTCTTTCCCTCTATCCCTCCAGGATCAAAAGCAAACGCAGCCTGGTTGGTCGGCCGGGCCCCAGGGACTTGAGTGAGAACATGGCTGCCACCCAGGGCCTATCACACATGATCAGTGACTGCAAGAAACTTTTCCAGGTGAGTCTGGCAAGGCCATAGCACCTGACTGTGAGAATTATCAGCCCTGACCTTTGGACCCTGTATCAGGTTCTCAACCTGTGAGTTGCAACCCCTCTGGCAAACCTCTATCTCCAAAAATATTCGCATTACGATTCATAACAGTAGCAAAATTGCAGTTTCGAAGTAGCAATGAAAAGAATTTTGTGGTTGGGGGTCACCGCAGCATGAGGAACTGTATTGAAGAGTTGCATCGTTAGGAAGGTTGAGAGCCACTTCCCTACAGGAACAGAACTGATAGAATGGATGTGTGTGTGCGTGTGTGTGTGTGTGCGTGTGTGCGTGTGCGTGTGACTTATTAGAATGGCTTACAGGCTGTGGTCAGACTAGTCCAACAATGGCTGCCTCCCAGTAGAAAGGTCACAGTAGTTGTTCAGTCCATGAGGCTGGTTTTTGATCTCTGTTGGAATCCTAAAATAGGTTCTAATACCAGGGAAGGGATGCCTCAGCAGCAGGAGAGATAAAGTTGCCAGCAAGAGTGAGGGCAAGCAGTGTAAAAGCAAAAGGCTTTCTAACATGTTCTTTCATGTGGGCTGGCACCAGAAGGTGTGGCTCAGATTTAGTGTGGGTGTTCTGGCCTCAAATGGCCTCAATTTAGGGTGGGTCTTCCCACCTCAAAGGATCTAGTAAAGCAAATCCTCCACAAGTGTGCCCAGCTGCTTGATTTTTAGTTGATTCCAGTCTTAGTCAACTTGACAAGCAAGATCAGCCATCACAGCCTCCAAGTCAGGCAAGAGGCCCAGCTTGTCACATGCTGCTAGGCTCTAATTCGTGACCCTTCTTCATCAGTTTCTTATCTGTCCCACTGCAGGGCCATAGCCGTGCCTCTCTACTGTCTTAACACTGACACTTGTGGGGTGCCCTTCTCTCACAGCACCCACTCAGTGTGTCTATGTGTGTGTGCCCTTCCAGGTGCCCCAAGATATGGTGGTGCAACTGTGTGGTTCATATAGTGCAGCTGAACTCAGCCCCCCTGGACCAGCCCTGGCTGAGCTCAGGCAGGCACAGGCTGCTGGAGTGAGTCTCAGCCTTTACATGGAGGAGAGTGTGCAGGAGCTGCTTTGGGATGCTGCAGAACGCTTCAAGGGTTGGACCAATGTGCCAGGGCCCCAGCACACAGAACTGGCTTGTAGGAAGGTGAGCACCCCACTCTTCATCTTGTTGTAGGCTGGGAGAGAGCCCTGAGTCTGCCCCAGAGAGTTGCTCAATCAACCTTACCGGGCCTGTGCCTGGTACTTGGAAGATGGCAGCCAGCTGCACAAGTGTCTGAAGGAGTCAGAAACCATATGAGTCCAGTGCATCCCTCTGTGGACGCCTTCCTGAGTTCTTTTCCACAGTTCTACTTCAGACTCAGTACCACCACGATAGCTCCCTGAAATGCCTGGGTTTCCTTTGGCCCTGAACAGGCAACACCCCTTGTGATACCTCCACTCTCTGTTTCTGTTTGTGCTGTCCTGCTATCTGAACTGACTTACTCCCAACTAAGACCTCTCCCAGGCCACGTTTAGTCATGGTCAGAGCTGGAGGTGGCTCCTAACAGTGCCCCTCTGTTAGTAGCCTTGCTCTTTCTGGGCTATTAATCTTGAGTGACATTTTGAGCCAGGTATTTTCTGTGATAGAATGATCATGACTAATCTTCACCATGGGGTCAAGGTAGGGAGCTGGCAAAGAGTATGGCACATGCAAAATCACCCCTCTCTTCCTGCATCCAAAAATATCACATGCTGTGCCCATTTTCATAGGCTCAGCAAGCGTCTAAATGCCTGGGATCCATCATTGCCTTTTGCTCTAGAGCAGACTGAAGAGCAGACATGTGAGAAGGACAGAGAAACAGGGGTGTCTACCTGTTTATCTGAATCTAGAGTTGTTCATCAGAGGAGCCTAGTAGCTACAGGAAGGGAGTTCTAGGCTCTTTAGCCTGAGACCTGGCCTGGCATGAATTTGGAGTGCTCTCCCCTTGCTAGTGTTCCTAACCTCATCCCTTTGGCTTGTAGGCACCAGACGGTCACCCCCTGCGGATGTGGAAGGCATCCACAGAAGTGGCTGCCCCTCCAGCTGTGGTGCTGCATCGTGTCCTGCGAGAGCGGGCCCTGTGGGATGAGGACCTACTGCGGGCCCAGGTGCTGGAAGCCCTGATGCCAGGGGTGGAGCTGTACCACTACGTCACTGACAGCATGGCACCCCATCCTTGCCGAGACTTTGTGGTGCTCAGGTGAGGGGCTACTGCTACCACCCTGCTGTGCTTCGGGGACCAGAAAGGTGGGGCAGGAGCCAGCAGCAAGGATCTGAACATGGGGTCTGGCTGTCCGTGTTCCAGGATGTGGCGCTCAGACCTGCCTCGTGGTGGATGCCTCCTTGTCTCCCAGTCCCTGGATCCTGAGCAACCCGTGCCAGAGTCTGGAGTGCGGGCCCTCATGCTTACTTCCCAGTACCTCATGGAGCCCTGTGGCCTTGGCCGCTCTCGCCTCACTCATATCTGCCGCGCTGACCTCAGGTACCAGACTTGGGCTGTTTGCCTCACACTCTTGGCCCTGAGTCCATCCCTTGCCTCTGCCCTATGTCAGTGAGCCCCATTGTGAAAGACAGTTCCTTTCTTCCTTCTCCCTGACAAAGGCCCCAGTGGAAACCCAATTTCTCATGTCTCCCTACCTCTTCCTCCCCAGGGGCCGTTCTCCTGACTGGTACAACAAAGTCTTCGGGCACTTGTGTGCCATGGAAGTGGCAAAGATCCGGGACTCTTTCCCCACACTTCAGGCAGCTGGCCCTGAAACCAAGTTGTGAGCCTTAGACTGGTGTTGCCTAGGCCTCTGCTACCAAAGAAATGAATGGGAAGAAGAACTGAGACACCCCTAGGGACAGAGCCAGGCCCAGGTGGCCATCTGCCTGGCAGCTTACATCCTAATGCTAGTCTGCACATACACAAGCGAAGAGAGTGTAGGTGGCCTATCTCCACCTCCCTTCACCCCCCCACACTGCACTCTGTTCTCACCAAAGCAAGAAGACTGCTGCTGCCCACCTGACCAAGAAGACCCTGCTGTATCTTGATCTCCAGCAGCTACCTACTGAGAAGGGGAAGAAGGTGGAGAGCATTGTGCAACCCGGGCTCTCTGCATACCAAGAAGGCAAGCCATCTTGCTTGCTGCTAGGGTTCTTTTGAGTTTGGATTGGAGGCTCTGATCCTGCCTTTGGGGCCAACATTGACCCTGAATACAGGTCTGGAGCAACAGCTGGGGTACAGCACAGGAAAACACCAATGATCACAATCCACTTTATTTCTGTAAACATGATGCTGACTTATGAGGCAGGTTGAGGATGGCCCTATGGGCCCATACTAGGTAGGTAACATGACGAATTGGGATAGTTTGGGATATAAGGGTGGAGAACCTTTCTTTCTCAATCCCCAAGACACCAATTAACCATACTCCCTTGCTTTGGTCCACACTTGCTTTGTTACTCCCTAGAGTTGTGGGCAGCCTTTGGCCACTCATGGCCATAGCTACAGGTAAATTAGGTCATTCCCACGACACAGGCCAGGCCAAAGCTGACAGTGGCAGCAAGATGTACAGATGTATCTTCATGCTTTTTGCCCATGGTGGGTGGTCTATAAGAACTATCCTGACCTAAATCAAACACCCTGAACAAACACAAAGGGCTTCTTCCCTTAGCCATCCAGGCCCTGATTCCAGCCCAATCTATCCCACCCAGTGGCTATATTTGTTCAGATAGAAATCTGGCAACCATTCGGAGGACAAGTGGTGCTTTCTTTGTCTTTGGCTAAGGAAACTGGATTGTGTTGGGTTGCAGCTATCATTGTAATGTTTATCTTGTTTTTCTCTGTACCTATAAATACTGTACAGCCAGAATATATATGTGTATATGTATATATATACATATGTATATATCAATACATATACACACATATCTGCATGCACACACAACAACTCCCTCTTGAGTACATTATAATCTCTGGGTGGGAGCAGGATCTGGAGGGCCTGGGCTATGACACTTCTGTTCTAATGAGAGATGAGAGGTGAAGAGCAGGCCATAGCAGTTCCCTCTGCAGAACAATAAAGCATGACTGGAGATGTGCACTGCCTTTAGGGATGTCTTTTTGCTGAGAAAATGGGCTGGGGCCTGGGGTTGCAACCATACCCATAGGTCACAGATTGTGAGCATTTTCCTTGCATTCTGCTGATACCAACACATGGAGTCAGGACTTGGGGAAACACCATGGGGGAAAGGGAAGACCTCTTGTCTTGGGAAGAGGATTGGGAAGGCAGGCAGAATCTGGAGAAGCGCAGACTCAGACACAAACTTCAAACTCCATCCTATGCCTAGGCCAGGGTCCTGGATTTGAGTACCAGCCTGCACCATGACCTCACGAGTCCATAATAGCTCTAATGAGGGGTGTTCCGGGCTCAGGTCTCCTCCTTTTCACTCCTATGCAGCTTGGGCAAAGCAAAAGCAGTAGGGATGCAGTCCTCAGAGGCTTGGGAGGGGTCCTGTGCCACATACGTGACACCCTAAAAGGGCTGGGTGCCTTGAGGCCGCAAAGCATTGGGGTGTCTAAGCCAGGTTCTGTTTGAATTTCCCAAAGGAAAGAGCTTGAATTTGCCATTTTGTTGTGGCCATAAAACTTTTAAGCTGTGGGCTATGGGCCTGGACCCACAGACCTGCTGCCATTTGGGGCACTCGGGGGAGGGGACTCTTTTCCACCCTACTGCTGCTACTAGCAGGGGATGCCAAAAAATCAGAGGTATCCAGGGCTGCTGCTGAGGGTCCGGGAGATGGTGGGATTAGTCTAAGAGATTGTTTCAAGATTAAGGGGCATGCAGTTGTTTCAGGGGTGAAGCCTCAGGACTGGGATTTTCATGGCCTGAATGCTGGTAGACGAAGAAGAGTTTGTTGGTTTCCTTAAGACAGATGGGAGTTTTGTAGTTCATGGTATTCCATATGTAGTAGAAGTTTTTCTCCAGCTTCCAAATTTGATCCTCCCTGAGTCAATATCACTTCAAAAGGAAAAATGAAAGCAAGATATGTGAATTCCATTCAAATCAACAGAAGTGCTCAGATTACTCCATTCTCTCCAAATGAAATCTTCAGGTCCACTTTCTTAATTTTATCATTTATTTATTTATTTATATATTTATTTATTTATTTTGGTTTTTCAAGGCAAGGTATCTCTGTTTATCAACCCTTGATGTCCTGGAACTCACTCTGTAGACCAGGCTGACATCGAACTCTCAGCACTCTGCCTCCCGAGTGCTGGGATCAAAGGTGTGCGCCACCATACCCGGCCAGCCTTCATACTTTATTAGGACTGGATCATAGTGCTGGACATACTCTGATGAAGCCAATAGTTATGATGATGGTTTTTCCTCATTGCTATTTGTACTTCTGCCAAAAGTGGTCAACACAAGTAATCCTGACATGAGACAAAAGACAGAGTGGTGAACGTGTATGTTCAATTCCAACATGAGTTGCTGGGTTCCAAGTTCAAGACAAGACTCTCCCCAAACTTGGCAAATCTAGAAACATCAGCAGCAGAAGTAAAACAGGCAAGTGGGGGCAATCCAAAAGGAAGTAGTCGGGGTCACATCTGGCATCGTAGAAATAAGACAATACTGTGTGGCATCCAAGTTTTGATGCAAAATGGTCTGGAGCAATTATGGTAAACCAAGTCCTCCCTAGAATTGATGCTATACAACTGTTGTCTATGTGAACTTCTTTACACATGTCCTGTACATGGCACACAAGAAAATCCAGCTTTTATCCTCCCTCTCTATGAGGCAATACTGATGTCACCGAAATAATATTACTAAAATATATAAAGTACTATTTACTGTCATTTGTGGATATTAAAAAACTGTCAATCTAGAAAGCAAAATAAAACTAACTTCTAAGGACAGGTCTAAAGAAATTAGTCACGCAACTTAGACTTATGAGCAAGGCAAGGGAATTTTGCAAGCACCATAATGTGCTTAGGCTAGTCAGTGGGAGCTATGACATCATTCAAGGAGAGAATCTGATGAGATGGCCAATCAATATGTAGCCTATTCCTGAGATAAATGCTTGTTAAATGGCACACCACTGTGCAGGCTTTGGAATCCTATAGCATTTACTCACCCAGGAGTACTATTAGCCGGAATACGAAAGTCCTGCTGTTTGTCAGAATTCATCTTCATCAGAGCTCCAGTAGGGATCTCTGAATCATGCTTTGTCACACAGCTGGCTCCCAGCATGTTCAGGTGGGGGTTCTTTGACCTGCATCACAACCAGCCACAGACCAAAGAGACCAGGGTCCCCATCAAGTCTCCTCTATAACCTCCTTCATTGTCTTCTCTTTCTACGTACAAAAGCATGTCTTTGGTTTTTCCTCATCAGTGAAATGTGGGACCTTGGAAGTAAGGCAGGCAGGCAGAAATATCAGTCAGCCTCTGGCTTTTGTGGGCACAAGAAGGTAGGTTTCGGCAGGGAGGCAGCATAAACAGGAATGGATTTCCAGAACACAGTGTGCCTCATCAGGCAATGAGACAGATAAGGAGGAGAAGGCAGGCCCCTAGAAGGACCAAACAATTCGCCAGCATTCTCTGCTTGGCCTCTGATGCCCCGAGCTGGCTGCCAGGGTAGAGGGAGTCCCAGGCAGGCCCTGATGCTTCAGCAGAACAGGGGTGGTGAAGAGCCTGGGAGCTCCACATCGACGCCCCTCCCTCTGTGGCTTGAGACCTTCTTTGCGGGTAGTCATGGGCCAAGTAACCCAGCTAGGTGTGGTTCAGCTACTTAGCCAGCCAGCCTCATGCCCAAGTGTGGGCTTCCAGAGACACTCACATTTCCTAGGCACCCACACTTTTGATAGGACCTGTGACCACATGGAGCACTGAAGCTGAGAACGTGCATTTCTGGTTAGCTCCCAGGTGGTGCCAGGCTGCTGGAACTCCCGTGCTCATTCGGTGCCCTCCGATCCATGAGTCCTGGAGGTCCATGATAATGGCACAAGTTCTTATGAAAATGAATCCAAAGCTGGTGACTGAACTCCCTCTCGGGTCCATGCACAGCCTCTGAGGGCCAGCGGTGGGAGATGGAAACCTCCACATGATCACCCAGTTCCAGTCACGTGACTTATTACCTAAGTCACAGAGCCCGTGTGCTCTCCTCTGTACATGGAGAGGACACAGCCACATGCACAGATCATAGCGGTCAGCTGCTCGCCCAGCGCCCACCAGTGTTGTGTCCCTTGTTGTCGGTTTGTCCTCCTGATGCTACCTAACATCTTCCTTTGTTACTCTGCTTAGGTTGTGAGCTGAACTGTAGCGGGAAGGACTTTAGAAAAGGAGGAATGGGTGCCTGTTCTGGGTGCCCTAGTGTCACCCCAAACTGTATCACCCTTCACCCACCCACCCTCCTTGGGTGGTCTTCATTGGTTGTTTTACCAAGTCCATTCATTCCCTTCTAGGTAAACTGCATGAGCTTTCAAGTAAGATTCCTCTAGGATTTGGCAGGTAGCCTGGGAGGGTAAGTGCTGGCAAGGGACCAGACTGCCAGAGAGGGCATTTCCACCAAGGGGGACAGAGCTTATGCCTTTCCCAGCTCTCATGCCCAGGTGGGAACATGGGTGCAGAGCCATAGAGCCACGGCTTTGAGGGTTCTCAGGGAATCTAGACATCCAGTCGTTGACATGAAATCTACCTGTTTGTAAATGGTTTAGTGAGCTAGATGAGAAATTCAAGTTCAGGGTAACCGCTAGTCAGTCATGCAAGCATGCTTGCACAGAGGCATGCACGCCCCCCCCCCCCCCAGGTCGCATACTCAGTCGCTGGACCACTGTTGCAAAAAGGCGTGGCTGACACAAAAAGGAGGACTTGCTTCCTGGGCTGCCCCTGCAGCTGCCCTGGTGATAGAAGCAGCTGGAGCA